GTATCAGGAGTGGGATAATTGTAGGGTTTATTATATCTTAAATTAATGATAAGTCATCGCGCGCTCTGACCGCGTTTATATATTATAATATTGTTACCAAGTTTAAAAATTATATTAAACATTATCTATACTAATCTATACTATTATTAATAATATAATAAAGCGAAAGAGTTTTTTGTTTTTTGTTTGTTTAAACGCGCTAATCTCTGGAACTACCAGTCCGATTTGAAAAATTATTTTGTATATTATAGCCAGATTCATGTGGAATAGTATGGCCTATCTAGCATTAAGCTATATCACTCAGCTAGCCTTAAATATGGATATTTGTTAAGCAAGTCAGAAGAAAAATCACTCACGAAATGATTTATCCGTGTACGCTGGTGTTATCGTTAGGGATACGTAAATACAATGTTCTAGAAAAATATAGATCTTTTCTCCGTCTAAAAAAATTCCGCGATACCATATGTCTATTTCTTATACAAAAGCCATAATTAGGTATTTTGTGACAAAAAATATTTAAAATTAAAAAGTGATCCATGAGCGTTATTATTAGGCATGGCCTATTTATCCTTACGAACGAAAGTTATTTCATCATCAAGACAATTTTATGAAGATAAACTTTGTTCTTTATACCATGTTATTTGGATGCATAGTTTAAGAGATAATATAAATAAAATAATTCAATACTTGGCTGGGCGCGCGAACGGCGTATAAACCCTAGCCGGCCGGTGTGAACTGCCAGAAGCCAGTATTGAAAACTTTTATGAGCGAGGTTAGTTCAATCATTTAGCTAAAATTAATTAAAAATTAAGTGAGTACTTTTATGACAATGATTAGTTCCATCTTTATTTCTGAACTCTTTCATTTCACGTTGCTATGGTATTTTGAAAATTTAATTGATTAATAAGTATAAGAGTTTGATAGCTCAAGAATCATTTCATGCGTACACACTTTTCATGTATCGTGTACGGTTTTCTTTAAAACTGGAAAAAACCGCGCTTCGAGACATTTTCTGGGGGGGGGGGGAGGGGAGGAGGAAGGAAAGTGGATAAAACTTAACTTCGCTCTACATCATACATAATATGCTGACAGATAAAAGTACTCCATTAATTATGCCAATTTTTCCATCCATTGCTATCAATTAAAATATTTAATTGCAATTATAAAATGCTTGAACTAAGTCATGTCGCGCACCTCCGACACGTGATGACGCGGGTGACACCGCGGGGCACAGCTAGTATATTATATTACAGATAATAGAAAAGTTCGCAAAAAAGACTACAGGAATAATTGCAATCGGCAGACCTCGTCAGTCACCTAGTAAGCCAGGTTCACATGTTCTTTATTTACTTATCTGTTTCGGCTTCCACGAGGTTCTCGTCATACGGAATGGAACTCGTAACGTCAACCAAAATGTCCATCAACACAATGCGTATTGCCTAGTATATAGTGCTGCCTGGCGCCTTCATTTCCCAGCACGGCTTCCGGTGAATAATAAGGCAGTTACACCTGTTCTCGTCCGATCACCGAAGTTCCTGGTATAGTATCCAAGTTACTAGGTTGTTATTATTTTTAACAATGTAATTAGTTTACATTAAATATTATTATATTGGTAGACAAACAAACAATGGTAACACGCTGCAGCTATATTATGGTTGTACCATGAATGGATCGGCTCGACCGGGTTAGCACCACGCTCTCACAGAAGACCAACGTAAATAAAATAGCAGCTTAATGCAAAATCGTATGGTAAATGTAGAGAACTGGAGACCCTTTTTACTGGAAATGAGGCATTCCATCCATGCCTCGTGTAAAATATGATGAAACTGTAAATAAATAAGTAAGTAAGAGCCTATATACGTTCCGATGCCGGGCACAGGCCTGAGAGGGTTTTAGGGCAAGGAAATGTCCGCCGCGCTGTCCCAATGCGTGTGGGCGAACTTCACATGTCTTCGAAATATTTTTTTTCTTATTTTTGAGACATACAGGTTTCTTCACGAAGTTTTCCTTCACCGCCGAGCACATGGTAAATCAGCATTTAAAATTGCAATTAACAATTTCATTGGTGGCGACGGGATCAAACCCGGGTTGCTCGCGTACTGTGAAATTTATAGCGAGCGCATAGTCCCTGAGCTACCACGGCTCGCTAATAAAACTGTAACGATAAATTATCTCTGTGTATTGATTATAATTTTAAAATATATAACAGAGGCTAATAAACCTAAGATAAAAATGCCAACCAATCAGTTTTCTTATTATTGTCTGTCTGTCTAACTAAACCTAAATAAAAATAAACACTTTCTTAACAATTTTGTCAACTTAAATCTGAATAATAGTTATGTTTTACGTGGTAGAACCATGCTAGAGCTATATTAGTAGTATAGTTGTAGCACGAATGGGTCGGCTCGACCGGGGAAGGACCACGCTCTCACAGAATACAAGCGTAAAATAGCAGCTTAACGCTGCTGTGTTTCGTATGGTGAGTGTAGAGAACCGGAGACCCTTTTTACTGGAAAACAGGCATTCTATCTTAGTCCTCACGGGTGGCAACGCATCTGCATTTTGATTCGTTATCGAGGATAGATGTCGATGTCTATGGGCCACAGCAACCACTTACCATCAGGTGGACTGTGTGCTCGTTTGTCACCCTTATCCTATAAAAAAAAGAATACCAGCGTAAAATGGCAGCTTGACACTGCTGTGTTTCGTATGGTGTGTGTAGAGAACCGGAGACCCATTTTACTGGAAAAGAGGCGTTCCATCTCAGCCCTTACGGGTGACGACGCATCTGCATTTTGATTCTTTATTGAGGAGAAATGTCGATGTCTATGGGTCACAGCAACCACTTACCATCAGGTGGACTATGCGCTCGTTTGTCACCCTATTCTATAAAAATAAAAAAGTTATGATTTTTGATTTGGGAGATCATTGTGACTTGGCTAGTACTTACACTGCTGTATTCCCGTCTGCAGAGACCCGTCTAAAGGTCCAGTATAATTAGAAGCATAGCCACTTATTATACTGGTTCTCTGGCATTCCATCTTAATCCTCATAGATAAAAAGCCGCCAATGCACCTGCAATTCCCCTCATGTTGCACTTGTTCACGGGCCTACTCCAAATTAATCCAAAATTAAGTTGCGCGACTCAATCTGTGAATGTTATGTACATACACTTGTAATTGATATTCATATCAGAATCTGTGAAAATGTGTATGTTTTTGTGATAATATCATATTTGTGTATTCTTATGTAAGTCTATTTGTTAAACGAAATAAATAAATGGGCAGCGTTCGACACTTACGATCAGTACTACTTTTATAAAAAAATATATGACGCATCTGTATCCTTCTTTATTTGGAGTTGGTTGCAGGTATTCATAGTTTGTAGTAGCCATTTGGATATTGGATAAATTAGGACATGGAAAAGGTTATCTCAGGGTATTTTGTAAGTGTGAAAAGGCAGCTTACAAAACCATCTGTCATTGTCGCCACTTGTCTGTCAAGAAATGTTCGACCATTCTAACGTCTTCTGCTAATTAATAATTTTCAAGTTATACATAGATTTCGGTCTGATTTTGAGAATGCGAGTTTTCATCAGATCTCCACGAGGTCCTAAGAAGCCGTTCCAAATAATCCCGGCTAGACGTCCGGCCACGCGCGCGCTTGTGTGTGTGTGTGTGTGTTCGAACGGCGTTCGAAAGTGTTCATTGAGAATTCGAGCTGATTAGATTTTATAGAAACCAAAAAAACAAAATTTAAATAGATTTTCGAGCGTTCGAAAATAATCGGAAATTTCCAGGGATGGCCTGCAGGGTCAACCGTTTTTCAGATATTTTTTAGTTGTTATTAGGAAGAAGTTGCTGCCCATTTCATCACTACGCACCCCGACTATGTGTCAGAGCCCACTGCAGCTATATTATAGTTGCAGCACGGCTCCGTGGCGCAGTGGCTTAGCAATGAGTTGTAGCGCTGGGGGCCGCGGGCTCGAATCCCGCATGGAACAAGTATTTGTATGGCTTAAAAATAATTCTTCCGGGTCTGGATGTTTGTCCTCGTGCAATTTATGTCTGTAAACTGCCTCCACGACACAGGAGAAATAGCAGCTATTGTGTTTCGTATGATGATTGTAAAGATCCGGAGACCCTTTTTACTAGAAACGAGGCATTACATATGGCTGACAACGCATCTGCGTTTTGATTTTTAATCGAGGATAAATGTAGATGTCTATGGGTCACAGCATCCATTTACCATCAGGTGGACTATGCGCTCGTTTGTCACCCTTATTATATAAAAAAATGTGTGCACCGCCAGTGCTGCCTGTAACATGATACATCCATGCTGCAACAAATTATAGCTGTAAGCATGCACAGGTCGGCTAGATCAAAGAAGGATCACACACACTCACAGAATACCATCGTGAAATAGTAGCGTAATGCTGATGTGTTTTCTATGGTGGTGGTTTTTTACTGGTGACGAGGCATTTCATTTTAGTACGCTGGAGTGACGACGTATCTGTATTTTGATTCTTAATTGAGATTATATTTAGGTGTCTACGGGCCGTAGCATCCACTTACAATAAGGTGGACTGTGTGTTCGCTTGTCGGGTTGGTTTCAGTTTTGACCAGACATAGTTTAGGACTGTACTTTGTAACATTCCTTGGGAGGGGACTATGTTTATCAGTGGACTTGTGATGATGATAATGATGAGAACAAATTGACTACTACACAAAATCCTAGACCACTATAACTATGTAACTAAGCCACTATAACTATGTTACTACTCAAGCGTTGCTAGTTGCAACCAAAACATCCACCTGTGTAAAGCCGCGGGAAAAGCTAGTTCACAAATAACTTTATCTTTAACTCGAGCAACACAAGCGCAAACAAACTGATAATCTAATCTATATTTAATATTCAATAAAATAAAACTAAACGGATCTTTGGTGTTTACACTACCTATTATAATGTAAATCTTACGTTCATGAAGTGCGTTTTAATTTTATTGTTCTTGGAGACTATTTCAAGGAAGGTACAATATGGTGCCGCCGGTTGTGAAGCAGGTAAATAAGGATTTATTATTACAAGTTGTTTACAAGTGACTTCTATATAGATGGTCTTATCCGCCTGAACTTTTAGAACTCAGGTTAGATGGACTGTTTTTCGCACTTTCACAATAAATTACTTAAAATCTGGTCTGATACACCAGTCTTAAAACATTTTAAAACCTTAGGCGAGGCTTATGATCGCAAATTCTTTTCAGAAGTACTGGGATCACACTGTTGTAAGTGACAGGACACTATTGTTTAAAAAAGAACATGTCCATCCTAGTACTAAGTAACTCAAGGATGTGCCGATACTATTCCTGAACGGAAGACTCTGGATATCCTAACTGACTGTGGACTCTTAAAAGAAAGTGATATTGCTCATAGCTAAGCAATTCCTTCAATTGATTGAAGATATAGGGCTTAGCAGTGAACTATAGCCATAACAGCGATCACAATATATGTTACTGATCGCGGTGATATTGGTTTTATTAGACCTGCATAGCGCCTTTTTTTAACTTATTATAAGAGTAAAAGTGCTCGACCACAATCCCACCTGGTGGTATGTGGTGATGCAGCCTTAGATGGTCAATCGCACTTTCTTAGCGTAACAAATGTATTCGGATGCAAATTTGCATCTCGCATCACCCGCCACTGACAACCACAACAAGGTATCTTAAATGCCATTACGCTGCAAACAATCCGTAAAGCGAATTAATGAGTGTAGTCGATTAGTTAGTAAATTGAAGAAGTTTTTATTTATTTATGTAAGCGTGCTCTTTCACCGCTAAAAGGAGCCCGCTCACCCTGGCTCCTACTTAAAATAAATAAATAGAAACAATATTGGTTACCGTTACGTCCACAATATCGATGACGAATTCTATCCAAAAAACGTTACCGTTACAGCCTATCAAAAGTCCACTGCTGAACATAGGCCTTCGTCATAAATTACCTCAAACAGAGCATTTTGCTATAGATGCCTCAATTGACAAAGGGATTTTATTATTTTCGGCCATAAAGAAGCCCTTACAAAACCGTAAAATAGCAGCTTAATGTTGCTGCGTTTCGTACGGTGAGTGTAGAGAAACGTTACAGTATCATTCCCTTTATTTGAAAACTTTAGATGGTCAAGCCCGTTTTTAAAAGCGGTAACAAACACGATGTTTGTAGTTACAAGGAAATCTCTAAAATATCTTTTTTGTGAAAGTTATTTCAAAACTTATATAATACTTTATTTTCTGATGTTGGACCGTTATTACACAACAGCATGGCTTTATTAATTAACGTAGTACAGAGTCAAACTTGTGCGAATTCCTAGATCAGATTTCGGAGGTTATGATTAGAGGCTATCAGGTTGACGCCGTGTATATCGATTACCCAAAAGCTTTTGACAATATTGCCTACTCAATATTGGTTAATTAAATTTAGCTATTCAGTATACACGGTGATCTTTTTCAATGGCTCACATCTTACCTCAGATACCAGTCCTAAGATGTGACTGTTAAAGCCTTTATATCGTCGTTTGTGCCCATCACATCTGGAGTGCCTCAAGGCCCTCACCAAGGTCCTCTATTTTCCTACATATTTATCAATGACGTTTTAAGTTTCTTTCGTTATGCAAAAGTTTTGCTATATACTATATTCAAGATTGTTTTGATCTACAGAATGATCTAAATCGTCTTAGTGAATATTGTTTGCGTAGTAAATTATAAATTATTTTTAATATAAATCTGTATCTCTGTCACCGTTACCGTTGCAGCCTATTAAAGTGCACTGCTGAAGAATTTTTGGCAAAGTTGCCATGTTTGGCAAGCGTGTTGGGTTTTTAGGAAGACGCTGCTGCTAATCTCCTGATTTTTTACATCTATCCATACCTATAAGATATAAAAGTTGTAAAATTTTAAAATGTTACAAAAAATGTTACAACAAAGTTACTTCCCACTGTTGGGCACAGGCCTCCCCACATTTTTAATAGGTTTTAGCCCAACCAAGTGTCCGCCTTACGCCCCAATGCGTGTTGGAAGTGATCACATGTCTTAGTCAGTCAGGTTTCCTTAAGCACTTTATATTGGAATTAACAATGCAATACATAATTAATAACATATGTATCTGTTTAATATGCGCGGGTTTCGTACCTGAGTTGCTCGAGCAAGGAAATGCAGCCAGCGTTCTTGGCACTATAAAGCGAGAGTAGGACTGTATGTTAATTGAAGTTTTTATAATGAAATTATATAAGTATTTGAATGTTTTAGGGGATAAAATACTGTTTTAATTAAAGAAAAGTCCAATATATCAAAACACAATCAAACTTATTTTGATTTATGGACGGTAGTGGACCATTTTTTTTAATTTTGATGATTCTTTTTTATTTGAAAACTACTTCTGCTTCTCATGTGGTCCCATATAAATTTGATCAAGATCTGACGAGTAGTTTTTGAGTTATCCTTAATAATTCATATTTAATTGACTTCGACCACGTTGATGATGTTCTCATTTTATTTTTATTGAAGTCGGTTTTACAAAATTTATAATTTTACCGCTTGTTATCGATTTGTTCTAGACGTGGGCAGTATCGGCAGTCCTCATCAACATGTTCGCCCAAGGCATGATGCTAAGTTACCCTTCCAGTTTGCTGCCAGCGATCCAGGCTCCAGACTCCGACATAAAAGTAGATTTAAATACAGCATCTTGGCTAGGTATAAATATGTTTTATCATTATATCTTTGCGAGGCTTAAAGGTAATTGAAAGGTGCGTGAAAAGGTTTCCTGGTTTATCGTAAAAAGGTGTACACGTCCTACTCATTAACTGAACAAGCTCTGACAAAACGTTACGTCCTACATGCGTCGAAATGAGAGTCAAGCAGTTAGTCTAAGCTCATTGGTCCAGTCCGGAATAAACAAATATTAGACATGTTGTGTAACATTGCGCTGCGTCGCGCAATTGCATCAACTCAATTCCGCCGGATGTGTTAACTCACTTCTTCAAAATGTGTTGGCCGCATATCGCAGGTTTGGGAAATTCGAAAGTGGATATGATATTGAGTGGCTCGTAGAATATAGAGGAGTGTTATTGAACACTTATGGTATGGTATTTCACAAATCTTCCTGTATATTTTTTATAAGCTACAACTCCGTGAAATGTAAAAGGAATGATAGTGATAGGTAATATTTCTTTTTTACATTTTTTTTATTTACTGGCCACAAGGTTTATTTTGACAGATGGCTGAGTTGACAGATGTATGTAAAATGTGTTGCGCCATAGCGTAATTTTAAGTTAACCCAATAAGCCGGTGCAATAAACTACACCTGAGTTACTAAGTTAACGCAAGGAATTTCACTGCGTTACCCATGTTTAGCACATATTCCCTACATTATTCCTCAGACATGCAGGTTTCCTCATGAATTCTTTCTCTCAAACTAAGTGGTAAATCATCAATTAAAATTTTGAAGTCTTTTGATAACCCGAACTCAAATTCTACATACCAGCTTCATGCTGCTGTGTTACGTATGGTGAGTGTAGGGAACCGGAGACCCTTTTTACTGGAAAATAGGCGTTCCTTCTTAGTCCTCACGGGTGACAACGCATCTGCATTTTGATTCGCAAACGAGGATAGATGTAGATGTCTATGGGCCACAGCAACCACTTACCATCAGTTGGACTATGTGCTCGTTTGGCATCCTATCCTATAAAACAAAAAAACAAACAAACAAATTCTACATACTTGTACATACTTAAAAAATCAAAAAAATCACGTGTCGCTTTTCGAACGTTACGTCATATTTAAAATTATTATTGTAAAAAGCTCATTTTATATTTCAGCTTCAGTGGTTGGAGTGGCTGGAATCCCTGGCTTTCTGATATCTTCTATCCTCATGGATTGGGGAGGTAGGAAGATGGCGCACGCTATAGTCATAATACCCGGCATTTTGGGCTGGCTGTTCATTTACTTAGGTGCAAATGTAACTTCACTTATTATAGGAAGATTATTGAGTGGGTTCACGGGTGGTGCTTCAGTTTGTCTAGGAGCAGTGGTTATTGGAGAATATTCAAGTCCTAAAAATAGAGGCACTTACTTAAATTTAAAAACAGCCAGCGTTTGCTTGGGGGGCATGATGATTCACATCCTGGGAAATTTTTGTCACTGGAGAACTGTTGCATTACTATCATTGTTCCCGTATATTATTTCCCTCATCATAACATTCACTTGGCCAGAAAGTCCTGCATGGTTAGTTTCAAGAAAAGAATTCGACAAGAGTGAACAGGCGTTTTATTGGTTGAGAGGGCATAGTGACGAAGCTGAAAAAGAATTATATGAACTAATCAAAGCTCAAAAGGATAAACCAACTGTTATAAAAAACAGCAGTTTCAACGAGAAAGTTGTTGACTTTTTAAAGAAATTTACGAGGAAAGATTTCGTCAAACCTGTAGTCATTATAGCACTTAGTGGGCTGCTAATTGAAACTTCTTGCCGACATATTTTTCCCGCATATGCATCACAAATTATTGGTGAAGTGACAGGGAACAAATCTCAATCGTTTTATTATACATTAGCTATCGATATAATTATAACGACCAGCGCTATATTTTCCTCTGTGTTGGTAAAAATGTACAAGCGTCGCACTCTTCTATTTGTTACTGGTTTTTCTGCTTTGTTTGTTTTATTTAGTGTATGCACATACCTTTATTTAGTATCTAAAGCAATAATTTCTAATAATTATACATGGATACCAATATCATTATTTGTACTGTACTTTATATTTGCCAATTTGGGTTGTACACCAATTCCTCTGGCTTTATTAGGTGAAGTGTTACCATTAGCTCACAGAGGTTCTGGATCAGCTCTTGCAGGTCTTGTAATGTCTATCGCCATACTAGTAGCACTTAAAATTACGCCATATTTACTCGAAAGTGTTAAAGTTTATGGTACATTCACTGTTTTTGGATCAGCTATGGGCTTAACTCTAGTGGTGATGTATTTTATATTGCCCGAAACGAAAGATAGAACTTTGCAGGAGATTGAAGATTATTTTAATTATGGAAGATTTAAGAACGACGAAAAGCTAAATAAGGACGAATGTGAAGAAGATGTGAAGATGAAAATGATTAGTTGAACAGGCTTGTAGTTTATAGGTTTTTAATAAAAGAAGATTAACTATCTTTTAATAAGGATAATTATCATCTTAAAATGATCAAGCTAGTCAAGCGTTTAGATATTAAGTTTTATCAGTAGACATGTAATTATAATTTGAAAATATAAGTTTATTTTAAGAAAATATTTATCTTTACATATTACACTATCCAATTCACATATGACACGATGGGGTGTCACCTATTCACATATGACACGATGGGGCCACTCATTCTCATTTGACATGATGAGGCGTCACTTATTCACATATGACACGATGGGGCGTCACTTGTTCACATATGACACGATGGGGCGTCACTTAGTCACATATGACACGATGGGGCGTCATTTATAGTATTAAATTACGACAGCTAGTTGTGTAATGAAATGTATATTATTACTCAACAACTCAATACTGAAATTTCGTAGCTCTAACCGCATGCCTTTGAAGAATTTTATGTTTAGTTATGACAACCTATAAATAGTCGGCTATAATACTAATTATCTATAAATGGGTCGGCTCGACACAGAATACCAGCGTAAAATAGCAGCTTAATGCTGGTCTGTTTCTTATGGTGAGTGTGGAGAACTGGAGACCCTTTTTACTGGAAGCGAGGCACTCCACCTTAGTCCTCAGGGGTGACAACGCATCTGCATTTTATTTCTTAAATGTAGATAAATGTAGAGATTTATGGGCCAAAGCATCCACTTACCATCAGGTGGACAGTGTGCTCGTTTGTCATCCTATATTATAAAAAAATCTGTTTAAAAGTGTAGTTTCATTTCCCTTCTAACAGTCATGAGATTAAGAGTATGATCAGAAAGTTTTTGGGTTCTTTTGCGTTTTTCACATGTTTGCCATTTATATCGCTCCCTGTATTGGAATTTTATAGACACTACAAACTATTTTTGTTTCGAACTGACAACTTTCCTAACTTAGGATTAGAGCACGATGGAGACGAATCGTTGACTTCCTTAGTCTTGACCTCTCCAACATACTGTTAAGGTTCAATTTACCTCTCACCGTTCAGTGATAGCTCCAAGTTTTCGCCCTCTCGATCACTGAGACATCACTGAACAGTTGCTGCTTGGTCATCATAACGAAGTCAATTTCAGTTGTTGTTGTACTATCCAGGCTGAATTGTCTCCGATTTATGTGCGACCTTTCTTAAAAAAAGATTTCATCTTAAAGAGACTTTCGTGAAAACAGCCAGCTGTTGATATTTTGAGTTTTGATGCCCTAATGATTTCTTATATTTACGCGAACACTACACTTACGCAACTTCAATACAGCTTGTATTGAAGAAGCGATCGAGCGGAACCAAGACTCCAAAGTCTTTACCAGAGATCTGTCTGCCAGAAAGAGCCAACTGTCAAAGCTAAGGACCGAGTGTGGCAGCATCGTTTCCAGGCACCTGAAAGCACGTCATCGTTGGAGCCACACGCAAGTGTGAGTAACGATCCAAGAGCTAGTCTTATCCGATACTATTCTGAAGATATCCCGGACTTCAGTCTGAGCGAGATTAGAATGGCTCTCCAGCACCTTAATAACGGCAAGGCCCCAAGCGAGGATGGAATTATAGCGGTGCTTCTGAAAGCGGGTGGAAGACCGGTACTTGAAGTCCTTCAGAAGCTCTTTAATTCCGCCCTCCATGGTGGCATTACACTGGAGGCGTGGAGCAGAAGTGCGGTGATCTTGTTCTTCAAGAAAGGTGACAGCGTTCTCTTGAAGAACTACAGACCGATTTCCCTTCTGAGCCGCGTCTACGTGCTGTTTTCGAGAGTCATTATGAATCGTCTCGCGTGCAGACTTGACGACTTCCAGCCTCCCAAACATGCCGATTTCCGAAAGGGCTTTAGCACCATAGACCACATACATACCCTTCGGCAAGTTGTACAGAAGTCCGAGGAGTACAATTTGCCACTATGCCTGGCGTATGTGGACTATGAGAAAGCCTTTGATTCCGTCGAAATTTGGGCGGTGCTGCAGTCTCTTCAGCGGTGCCAAATTGACTGTCGGTATATCGAAGTGCTGAAGTGTTTGTAGAGTAGAGCTACGATGGCTATCCGAGTACAGAACCAGAGTACGAAACCTATCCAATTGCAGAGAGGTGTAAGACAGGGTGACATCATATCCCCGAAACTCTTCACCGCTGCATTAGAAGACGTTTTCAAGCTTTTGCACTGGAAAGGATACGGTATTAACATCAATGACGAGTACATCACTCACCTTCGATTTGCCGACGATATAGGCCTTATGGCAGAATCGCTGGAGGATCAATGACTTCAATAGTGTCTCCCAACGGATAGGTCTTAAGATGAACATGGACAAAACAAAAATCATGTTCAATGTCCATGTCACACCTATGCCGGTAGTTGTTGGGAGCACTAAGCTCGATGTTGTTGACGAGTATGTTTACCTGGGACAAATAGTCTGACTAGGTAAGTCCAACTTCGACCGAGAGGTCTATCGACGGATTCAACTCGGCTGAGCAGCGTTCGGGAAACTGCGACACATCTTGTCGTTAGACATTCCTCAAAACCTTAAAACGAGATTATACAACCAGTGCGTGTTGCCTTACGCTGACTTACGGATCTGAGACGTGGTCCTTCACTGCTGGCCGTATGAGGAAGCTCAAGGTCGCTCAGCGAGCTATGGAGAGGGCTATGCTCGGAGTTTCTCTGCGTCATAAACTAAGAAATGAGGATATCCGCAGTAGAACCAGAGTGACCGACATAGCCTTGTGGCATTCCTTGGGGGAGGCCTATTTTCAGCAGTGGACTTATGAAAGGCTGTAATGATGATGAATGATGAAGAAATAACATTAAATCATAATATTCTTTTCGTGTTTTTGAATTGTCAAACTAGTTATAGTATTATTTGCACAGCTTAGCTGACTGGCTCGTTGGTCTAGTGGTTGTAAACTCGATTGCTGATCATGAAGTCTCGGTTTGAATCCCAGGTCACGCCAAAATTTCTTGTAGCAGCCCGGAGTCAGGAAGGTGCCTGTGTTTCACCCCTGGCTTCAGAAACCACGTATAGCTGTAGTCCGGCGCCTGATCTCTCTCCAGTCGTGTCGGATTGACATCTTCTCGGACTATGAGAGAGAGGGAATAGAGAGTGCAACTGTGCTTACGCACACACTCGTGCTGTGCTGTTCAAGAAGCCTCGGGTTCCAATCGAGACCAAAATGAGTTATTGGGTTTTCCTGTAAGAAATTCTCAGTAGCAACCTGGTGTCCGGAAGTTGCAGGTGTTCCACACCCGTGCCTCGGAAAGCACGTAAAGCCATTGGTCCTACGCTTCTATCCCATAGAACTAATAGAGTGGGGGAATAGAGAGTGCACCAGTGCTTGCGTGTACACTACGGCACTATAATCCTGTCCTGCGCAGATGGTTAGTCTCCGTTGAGGCTGGCCGCCGTGACCGACATTCGATTTGGTGGACATTATTATTATTTACACTACTTTGTAGAATTTTTTTGGGAGATATCGCTATTATCAATATTTTATGATTAAGGTGAGGTATTAACCTAATTTTATATACCAAATAATTTACAAGAAACAATTTATGTTACTATAGAGCAACTTTTTATCTGACCTTATCCAATACATTTGATAAAAATTTAACTAACCTCTTTTCTATCTATCTATCGTGTATCATACACGAGAGATAGACATGATAGAAAAATATATTACCATGATATAATTAATAATTATGGTGGGGGCTAGGGGTGAGGGGATATACGACGTCTCCGTGGCGCAGAATTAGCTATGAGTTGCAGCGCCGAGGGACGCGGGTTCGAATCTCGCACGGAACAAGCCATACAAAGGCTTACAAATAATTGTTCCAGGTCTGGATGTTTGTCCTTGAGAAATCATCAATTGTGAAATTATTAGTTATACACGTGCAGAGAGCAACTTTTTATTACATGATTTTTACATGTTCTGCTGACAGAACCTACACATATATCCTTGATTAAGGATCACGGAGAAAATTTTAATGTGGAGGAAATGTTTAAAAAAAGCTTTTACAAATTGCAATCTTATTTATGTCATTCATCACTGATTGATGAGACTCTGACGACCATCTGATAATGAAAACTCAATCCATTGAACACTGCTGGACGATCTACGTCTTCAGGTCCAGTCCAGTTGGTGCAAGCCGCCTTGCGCAGGGTGTCACTCCATTTTTTATAGAATAAGAGTGACAAAAGAGCACACAGCCCACCTGATGGTAAGTGGATGCAGTGGCTTATAGACATTTACATCTATCCTCGATTAAGAATGAAAACACATGCATACCTATGAGGAACTATTGGAATCTGGGGGGTAAGATAGAATGCCTCGTTTCCAGTAAAATTTTGCTCCGGTTTTTTACACTCACCATTATAAACACTGCAGCATTGAGCTGCTATTTAACGCTTCTATTCTGTGAGTTTTTGGACCTTCACTGGTTGGCCTGACTACTACTGCTACTACTACTTTAAAAAAGAAACCTTTTTTGTTTTTGTTAGAAAAGGACTTTATTGGTGAAGTAGACGTTCATTGTTTCTATTTTTTTCTAAATAAATTTACTGATTTGAAGATAAATGTAATTTTTGCAGCACATACAATTCTGTTTTTCTGCAGCATCTTGTAAGGTACGGCCTTGTAGTGGCGGAGGAGCTTAACAGCTTGTTCACCCATGATGAACTAAGAGGAACCCGCATGGCTGGTCCTAGATGAAAGAGCGACCCGAGGTTGCCACTCTGAGTAGGCTTGGCAAGCCCACTTCGTATATGTGTTGGTGGGTTGCGGCGACAGAGGTGTCCTCTCCCCCTACCGCCGAAGCCGGGATGGAGTCGCGAGGAAAGAAGTTTACATATAATGAGGCACCACTCGCTCTATCCTCCGTGACGCTGTTGGGCCACAAGTGGTGGTGTTGGGACGCGGGGGGAGAGGAGTGTTAGTATTACTATGCGTCGCTCTACCTAATTTCTACAGCCGAAACTTGATTAGTGGCGGAGTCAAAGAAGAGAAATGCCGCCGGTGTGAGGGAAGCTGTTTTCTTTATAGAATAAGGGTGATAAACGAGAACACCATCCATCTAATGGTTAGTGGAGGCTGTGCTCTACAGAAAGCTACATTTATTCTCAACTAAGAATCAAAATGCAGATGTTTTGTCACCCTGAGCTTTGAAGTTGCGTATGTCCCGCCGCATGCATTTAGATATCTGTCTGTTCAGTTGCCTGTGTGCTGTCAAATCTGTTGAAGAATGTAGCTTCATCTCCCGTCTGACAGCCATGAGATTAAGAGTATGATCAGAGAGTTTTTGTGTTCTTCTGCGGCGGGTCTTGCAGAACTTAGCTCCGACCGCATGGACAGTTTCCACGAGCTTGTCATTCATATTGTCCACTTCATTGCAGTCTTCTAGACACTGAAAACAGTTTTGTAACTCGAGCTGAAAGGTTTTGGGACTTTGGAACAGAGCACGAGGAGGACGGAGCGTTGACTTCATTAGACGAGACCTCTCCAACTTAACATTTAGGTTCAGTGTGCCTCTAACCATTCGGTGATCGCTACCAGTTTTCACCCTCGCGATCACGGAGACATCACTGAACAGTTGTCGTCTGGTCGTCATAATGAAATCGAACCGTCGGGGCTCGACCAGGTCCACTTTCTGTGGGGCCGCTTCTGGAAGAAAGAGTTCATCATAAAGAGTCCCTCTTTCTCCATGAAGTCTACCAGCTGCTGGGCCCTTGGGTTCCGTTGCCCTATTCCAGATTTTCCTACTTTCAGCTCACCGTTCTCTCTTGTACCTAGTTTTGCATTGAAGTCTCCCATTAACACCGTATAGTGGGTTTTGGAGGAATGCATGGCACTAGATATATCCTCATACATTTCCTCCACCTCTTTATCGGGATGTGCCGAGGTTGGTTCGTAAACCTGTATGACCTTCAGCGAATACCGTTTGGTGCTTCTGAGTATAAGGTACGCAACCCTCGTCGACACACTCTCAATATTTACAACGTTGTTAACGAGAGACTTGTGGAAGATAAATCCGACACCACCTTGGGACAGATGGTCGCCCTCCCGGTGATAGAGCAAGTTGCCGGTTTCGAGGATTACTATGTACCCCAAAATCTTAAAACAGACATACCCCCAAAACCTTAAAACGAAATCGTATAACCAGTGCGTGTTGCCAGTGATGGCTTACGGATCTGAGACGTGGTCCTTCACTGCTGGCCGTATGAGGAAGCTCAAGGTTGCTCAGCGAGCTACGGAGAGGGCTATGCTCGGGGTTTCTCTGCGTGATAAACTTAGAAATGAGGATATCCGCAGTAGGACCAGAGTAACCGACATAGCCCAACGGATTAGTAAGCTGAAGTGGCAATGGGCCGGCCATATAGCTCGAAGAACCGACAACCGATAGGGAAAAAAGTTTTCGAGTGGCAGCCTCGTACCGGCAGGCGAAGTGTAGGGCGACCCCCCACGAGATGGAGTGACGACCTGGTAAGACATGCAGGAAGTAGATGGATGCAGGTGGCTCAAGACCGTGCTTTGTGGCGTTCCTTGGGGGAGGCCTATGTTCAACAGTGGACTTATGAAAGGCTGTAATGATGATGATGATGATGATGATGATGATGATGTGTCCTCCCCTCTCTTCGGACCTCGGATAATCCTATAATATGCCAGCGTAACTTGTCTGTCTCTTCTTCCAGCTCCACGATCTTCTCGTCAGTCCTCAGGGTGCGTGCGTTGTATGTTGCCAGGTCGAGTCGTCTGAGGTGGCAACCGAACCTCCACCGGAGATTTTTAGCACCCCCTGCCCTGCCGTTACCATGGTCGTACACCGTAGCCAGGAATAACGGGGCCGCCGGGGACTGGGGGCCGTCTCTTTGTTGCTCTCATCATTGGAGGGTATTTTCCATAGTTGCCACGCTTGGCGAGCGGGTTGGCAACCGCAGTTTATTTTTATTGTAGTTTTGCTATTATCAGGAAGATGCTGCTGCCCATCTCCTGCCTGTTTCCCTTTGTCGCCTTTTACGACACCCACGGGAAGATATGGGGCAGTGGATATTCTTAACCGCCACTACACGGAAATCTACCATTTCCTCCACAAAATCAAAAAATATATTTTTTTAATTTTAATTAATTTTCACCATTTAATCTCGTTGTGAGTTCTTTTGGGCTAATCAGTTCTCTGCCAACAATGCCCGTCCACAAATTCACACTAAATTGGTGTTGAAAATTGTGACGCCGAACCAGTTTTGGATTTTCGGTCGACCAGGAACGGTAATTGTGCATATAAATATTCCGTTGCGGGTGAATATAGATTCGTCTGTCCATAAAATTCGGTCGGAAAAATCGGAGTTTCTTCGTAATATCTCTTGACAAAATTCAGTTCGGCGTTGATAGACTGGTGCAATTAAATCTTGTACTTTCCGTATGTGACACGGGTGATGCCCCTCATTGCGCAGTATTCTGTGCACGGTAGTGCGAGAGATTCCTGTGAAAGAAGGACAAAAAAGGTGACACAAATATTTTTTATTATAATTATTGTTGTCTACATTTCGAAGTCTAGGGCAATTATGTTCCGGGCCTTTGGAAGACGTGCGTGGTTGGTCCCAGTCAACACATAAATACGATTTAAACAATTATTATTATGTACCTGTACGTCGTTGAATTTCTCTCGTACTGTTAGATCACTGCATAATTATAATGCACAATATCAAAGCCCAGTAAAGGTGCTGACTTTTTGTTCCGGGAAATTAAAATGGCCAAATCAGTATGCAAAGTCCAAAACACAAGCCAAGTACACAAAATTCAATAATACACAGTACATACGTACGAGCGAGTGCAAGAGTAGGCGATAAACGTCTGACGACTCTGATGATGACCAAGAGAAAAGCGCGTTCCTAAAGAGAGAAACATAGGCCGTGCTTTTGTCATTACTATTGTTGTCTATTTTTAACACTACCTGTTCCTTGTACCACTTACCTTTTGAACCACTTCTTTTTTATCTAAATTGTGCTGTAATAAAAGTTGTACTTGCGAGTAAAATTTTATGTAAATACGTTATTTTAAACCTTTTTATCCAAAATTCATAATTATTCACCATATTAATCGGAAAAATGTGAGAAAATTCATTTTAAATGCATGAAATAAATTTCACTATTTTCGACTGTATCAACTATTAACTCCGTTTTCGTACAAAAATTTTTCATGTTTTCATGAGTTTCAGATTCTCTATCTGACATTCTCCAACTTTGTAAGCTAAATCTGAGCTACTAATAGTTAGAATTTTGGTGGTTAGTGTTTTTACAGACGATGATAGCCGTAATACTAAAAAAAAATGTGATTGCTAACACCGTTTAAAATTAAAAAAGAAACTGAAAATAAAACAAAAAATTTCATATTTCGAAAATTACAAAAATCGCAGAACATACATGGGGTCCAATCGATAGGTATTGGTGTCCCCAGACCACATACCTTTGCTGGTGCAGGTATCCTGGATATATTATTGATATATCTGGTAGCATTAATAACAACCTGTCTAAGAATGTTACTGGCTGGACATTTAAATATATTTAAATCTTTTTGAGATCTTTACACAGACACTACTCAGAAGTATTTACACTACATACATATTGGTAACATTGCAGTGCAATTTTTAGCGAATTTTTGTCTTTTCTTAATCTCAAGCAATTTAATGATAATTTAATGCGTAACTTAATATCATTAGTAGTAGTTACTACTTACTGTAAATTTACAAGCTATATACATAATTTTATGCCGAGTTTCGCATTGTAACAGCTCATTTACTCGTCGTGAAGATATTGATTTATCACAAATCACTAATGATTAATTTATTTTTAAATTACTACTTTCAAGTCAGCCGACGTCTATGTAGGTTTATAATTTTATGTCAGCTAATTACTAAAAAATTTACAATTGCTTGAGTAAAATAGATTGATATACTTTATTTAGTTATTTGGGAATGGAGGCTTGTATCACTAGGTTAGAGTTTGTCCTGCTAAAGCAAAATCGACAATCCTTCTGCAACGTAATGTTAGTAGAATGGACAAAGGATGCCCGTCTTTTGGATTGGGCCGATGCCGTAAATGACACTACGGTTGATACAAAAGTTGGGTTGTTTAACCTTTTTCTAATACTAATGTATGACATTAATGATCCAGTAAAACCAATAAAATGAAACACTTACCTGTATCATGGCTAACAGATGATTATAAACATCATATCATCAAAAAAACGCAGCTCAAGGTCGATAGATCTGTTTATAACAAAGTTCGGAATCGCTGCAATACATTGTGCACGAATACACAACAATGCCACATTCACAAATCAGTCGAAACAACGACACTGCCAAGTTTTGGAAATTTCTTCAATTACTTGGAGTTGGTAAAGCATCTCCTAGCTCATCACGTCATAAGATTGATATTGAACTCCTTAATTATTTTACTTTATCTAGTACAATAGACATCTCAGATAAAGATAAGAACGCGCTCTGAGTATTCTTTCTTCAATGCTAACTCCAAATTTAAGTTCATAAACGGTGGGTGTTTAAGTTCACTCCTTTCACTGATTGTGATGTTAAGAAGAACATATTATCCATCTCGTCCAAAGGTGACAACAGTGTTAAGCGTAACATGACCTTACCTATCCTTGAATTTATTACCATTACGTTACATGTTACCGATTCTCACCGAAATCTAGAACAAACCTATCTCCACGTCCAAATTCCCTGACGCTTGGAAAAGCTCACAATTAATTCTTCTCCCTAAGAAGGCCCAAGCCTCACATTTAACTGACTTTCACCCCATTTCCATTCTTCCGTTTTTATATAAAGTCGTGGAGAAACTAATTTTTCACCAATTAAGTCCATATCTAAATATAAATTGCTTTTTGATCCTCTTCAATCCGGTTTCCGGTCGGGTCATAGTACTACTACAGGTCTAGTAAAGTTACTGACGATATTCGACGAGATATGAACAAGAAACAGTTCACTGTGTTGGTATTATTAGATTTTATCAATGCCATCAATACTGTTGATTTTGATATCTTGTTGAGTCTGTTGCATTCTATTATATATAATAATTCACGAGAGTAGCTTTGTAAAAGATATAATAATTCACGAGAGTTTTAATTTATTGGAGAAGAGAACAAAAATTGTAGATAGAGAATATTTCAATGCATACATACTGTAAATCATAATTCTTGTGCCCTCCTTTATGCAAATTATACTTAAAATTTTAGAATTATTCGTAGTATTTTACAACAAGATTTATTTACATTGGAATTGTTTTGTAGAACAAATAACTTATTTTTTAATTATTCCTATAATCTCTGCAGTACTATTCATTCCCGAGTGACTCAGATTTGGGATGTGGGTGTTATTGTGAACTCCAAGTTAACATTCTTCCAAAACTTGATAAAGTTTAAAAAAATCATACAGGCAGCTTGGCTTTTCTACTTCGTGTCGCTAAACCATTCAAAAGACCTTCTACTTATAAGCTTCTTCAACAGCTAAATATGTACGCAGTCATCTTAAGTTTGTCTACGCTATCGGGCATCCGTTCTATGATATTTACAAGAGTAGGCTAGAGAGAATCCATCGCAAATTCATTGAGGCATTAGACTATTATAGAACAGGTTTTTACTCTTAATATTCCCATATCTGAAGCATTTGATTGTGTAAATCACACAACATTAGTTTCGCTTTTTGGAGTCCTATCTCAGTAATATGATTCAAAAGATTCAGATAAATGATGTAAATTTTATAGGTTCTGTTTTACAAATGGGAGTACCACAAGGACCTATTCTTGGGCCATTATTGTTTCTTGTATATATATAAACGATCTGCCATTCTTTTAACCTTTTAGGTGGACTATGGAATATTACAATCCCAATGTCATCCAAGTAGCCCCAGTTCGCACAATGTGATTTATTACCAAAACAATGTTATAACCAAAAGAATAATTATTTACCTTGTAACATTTATTTCAAAATAAATATTTTTAAAGTATGTATCACTCATGAACACCAATTCAAAGTACACTGCAAATATAACACTTTATTCTTCTCCAAAGTCCACTGCTGAACATGAGACTCTCGTTGTAAGGCAAATCCTTCCTGGATTTGTCTTATCATCATACTTGGCAGGTGGACGATCACAGTACCAGACTCGCCGCTTTGAAGCTACTCTCGCCTCTTACGAAACCCACCGAACGAAATGGAGCGATCTTAGGCCGCCAACAACGACAGCAGCCTCGAGGCAAGCCAGCCAACCAAGCTGACTAATAAATGTTGGTGTTCAACACGTCCGTCGACAGCGCTGCATACATCATCATTACAGCCCTTCACAAGTGTGGACTTGTGAAGGGCTGGTGCTGATCATAGGCCTCCCCCAAGGATTGCCACAAAGCACGGTCCTGAGCCACCTGCATCGACTTCTTGCACGTTTTACCCGGCCATCAATCCATTCAGTGGTAGGTCGCCCTACACTTCGCCTACCGATACGAGGCTCGGTACTCGAGGACCTTTTTTCCCCATCGGTTATCGATTCGTCGAGCTATATATACGGCCCATTGCCACTTCAGCTTACTAATTCGCTGCATACATAATTATTATAAATTTATTCCACTTTTTATAATTTACGTACAATAAATTGTAGACATTTTAGAGCCACGCTGTAATTATATTATGGTTGTAGCACGAATGGATCGACTAGACCGGGTTAGCACCATGCTCTCACAGAATACCAGCGTAAAGTAACAGTTTTTTTTTTCATATGGTGAGTGTAGAGAACAGGCGACCCTTTTTACTGCAAATGAGACATTCCATCTTAGTCCTCAAGGGTGACAACGTATCTACATTTTCATACTTAATCGAGGATAGATGTAGATGTTTATGGGCCACACTTGACATCAAGTGAAGTGTGTCCTCGTTTATTAACCTTATTCTATAAAAAAATATGTAATATTCATAAAATAACTAAGTCTGTACATGTTTATCGAAATAATTAAAACGATATAAATAATTCTTAAACTTTTTAATTTAATTACTGTGACGTCAAATTATAATTTACGTGTTATACAATTTTTAAATTGATGTAAATATTAATAAAAATGTTGTGTTGAATCACTTCTGTGATTTCATTGTCCCCTTAAACAAAGCCAATCTATACTATACAAAAAAATAAAACTGAAGTGTCTGTTTGTAATGTCAAAGTATATGAAAGTATATACGATACTCATAACACAAAAACAATTTTTTTAATTTTTGTCTGTCTCTCAGTCTGTTTGTCCGGCTAATCTCCGTAATGGCTAGACCGATTTTGAAGGGACTTTCACTGGCGGATAGCTGATATTATAAGGATTAACTTAGCCTACTTTTATTTTGGAAAAAGAATTAGGATTCCGCGAAAAAAAAATTAAAAGCCATGAAATCCAATCGTAATAATTTCGAAGCAGGAAATGGCTAGTATAATATAAACTATGATAATAAAACTATAATACAAGTCACTGTACCCACGGAACCTCAGAACAGAACTAAGATTTACTGTTTTCTGAGTTCTGTATTCCGTTCTACTGATGTGAACTAAATGTTATAAAAATAAATTGAAATAAATATCACAATAACAAATGATGAGGTATTTTGTTATATTATTCTAAACATTTTATGTTTAAGTATTTTTAAATTAGTAAATAACGCAATGACAAAAACTTGATATAGGCATTAATAACAATTATAATTATTATATCTTGATATATATATACATAAATTAAAATATTTATTAATTACAGAGTTTGTTTTGTTTGTTTTGTTTTTTTTTAAACATTACCCCCACACTAGGATTTTCTCCTGTATCGTGGAGGCAGTTTACACACATAGATTGCACGAGGACAAACATCCAGACCCGGAACAATTATTTGTAGGCCATACAAATACTTGTTCCGTGCGGGATTTGAACCCTCGGCCCCCAGCGCAACAACTCATTGCTAAGCCACTGCGCCACAGAGCTGTCAATGTTGTCAATTAAGTTATGATTCACCGATTGTTTATAAATTATAATTAATTGATGAATATATAATTAATTAAAATTTGTATTTTTGCATGGTTTCATAAACTTCTAAATTAAGGTGATATACATCTAAAGTTCTAAAGTAATATCTGAAGTACCTACTACAAAAACCATCTAAGAATTGAGAATGTCGTCGCATCTAGAGTCAAACTTTATTGTATAAAAAAATTAAAAGTGACAGACGAGCACATATTCCACCAGATGGTAAGTAGATGCTGTAGACAACAATCTATATGTATCCCTATATCAATAATTTAAGTGCAAATGCATTGTCACCCTAAAGGACTACGTTGAAATTCCTCTTTAGCAGTAAAAGGATCTCCGATTCCGACTCACCATAAGAAACACACTGGTATTTTGTTTCACACACTGGTATTCGTGCTACATCCGTAATAAAACTGCAGCATGGCTCCAACGTGTGAAAATTGTGACTCGTTCTATTTATAAAATTTTCATATTAAACATAATTAAATTGTCTATTATATCAGTTAAATAACTGGACTGCTACACCTTCTGTCCTTGTTCATATACTTAAGAGACGTAAGCGATTGAGTGGATTTTAGTTCTTCTGGAGACATTGGTCTACCTCGAAACTCGTCCTCAATCTCTTGAAGCGTCCTGTCTTTAGTCTCTGGCAGGAACCACCAGGATATAACCAAACAATAGGCAACAACAACTGCATAAATTAAGTATGCACCATGGATGCCAACGTTTCTGAATAAATACGGAACTGTTTTCACAGTTATAAACAAGTTTGACGACAGGAATAGAACGCTGAAGCCGCCAGCTAAACTTCTGTATTCCAGTGGGAACACTTCGCCTGCAATTATAAACGGCAGTGGGACGGTTCCCGTCGCGATTGAGAACATGTGAATGTGGATCAACGCTATCCCAATGGACGGGTGATCGAAGGGTAGCATGTTGTGATCCTTCGCGTAAGTGTAACCAGCTGTAGCTATAAACGCGAACAGGTTTATTCCAACCGTTATAAATAACATAGTTCTCCGCTTCACCTTCTTTATCACATACACAGCAACACTGTTGGAGATGATCCGCTGAGCGTCGAGAGTTATCACCATGAGGGAGACGTTCGCTTCATTGCCAATCACATTATTGAAGATATCGATGGTGTATGCGGCCAGAATATTGGCTCCCGCCCACTGCCCGAGAGTGTAAATATGGATCATGATGAATATAGGTTTGTAAAACTCTCGCTTCTTAATTGTAGTCTTAATATATGCCAACTGTCCTTTCAGGCTCTTGGAAAAGGACTGGGAAATATTTGCGTCAGTTTTCGACTCTCTCACCACCATGCTTGTCTCAATCATCCTGTGTAGTTCCTCTTCCTCTCCTTCCCCTCTTAACCATCTGAAGACCTTTTCACTCTCCTCATATCGACCTTGGTCCGCTAGCCAACTTGGCGATTCCGGTGAATATAAGACTATAAGAAAGTCCACAAAGGTTATGCAGGCGATGACTAAGGCAGCAGTCTGCCAGACCAAATAAGACCCTAAGGTGTGAACAATAAGTACCCCAGTTGCGATGGTCAAAGATATGGTGGTCAAGAACGCTCCTCTGTTGTTTGGACTGGTGTATTCACCAATCAGGACTGGTCCCAATGTCGCGCTCATTCCCATAGCGAGGCCTTGGAGGAAACGCGCGATGAGGAGGACTGTGATGTTGGAGGCGAAGATGATGCAGAACCAGCCGACGATCATCGGTGCTATGCTGACCAGGTTGGCAGTTCGCCTGCCGTATTTCGCCATTATTGTTGGTATTATGAAGTTGCCAGCGACGAGTGCGAAGCCCAGGATTGAGGCTGTAATTTAAAAAAAATATTTAAATCTTCCTTCAGAAGAACTAACTTACAAGCCCAAACTAAGTTCGAATCTCGCACGGAACTACATTTCTTTAACCTAAAACCCACTCAAGGCGAAATTAATAAAGAAGTTATTTAAAAGCTTTTAGAAAAATTTACTTCGCAAATATCCGCGTTATAAAATAAAATGATGTGTCTTACCTAGTATGAAGAGCACCTCCCGCCCTCCCTCAATTGCGTGCACTATCCCCGTCACCACTAATCCCAGCACCGCTACTCCCAACACCACTACACTAGGCAAGACACACCACTGACGATAATACGACACGTGTTTCGCCTCTACACGAGGCATCCTCAGGTGATATAGACTCTACGGTGGTTAACCGCTAAGCTCTTCATACTAGGTAAGACACATCATTTTATTTTATAACGCGGATATTTGCGAAGTAAATTTTTCTAAAAGCTTTTATATAATGGATTTCCGCAAAGTAACGCCTGATTCTATTAATTATATAAAGAAGTTCTTATAATTATGGCTAATTTTTAACCTAATTTGCTTCTGTTTCTTAAAATCCCAATCCCTGACAAGGACCATCCTTTTATAAAATAAGGAGGACCAACGGGCGCACAGTCCACTGATGGTAAGTGGATGCTATGGTCCGATTTCATCTACATTTACCCTGATCAAAATGCGGATGCGTTGTCACCCATGAGAACGCGCCGTTTCGATTTTTTACGTTAGAATTATGTGGGAGCGTGGTCCTTCGCCGGTCGAGTCGAGCCATTCTTGCTACAACCACAATATAGCTGCAGCATGCGCGACGCTGGAGGAAAACGCGCGATCGATTTGTGACAGGTCGTGCAAATGGTGCAATGATGATATGCGATGGAGCTGGCGCTAGCGTTTGAAACTATCGAGAAGCTTGCCGAAGTGAGTGGTTGCATTATTTACGTGGGAGAGCCATGGTTCAGCTATATTATGGTTATAGCACGAATGGATTGACGCTACCGGGGTAGGATCACGCTCTCACAGAATAACAGCGTAAAATAGCAGCTTAATGCAGTTCCGTTTAGATAATGTAGAGAACCGTAAAATATTTTTCCTGGAAATGAGGCATTCCATCTTAGTTCTCAGGCGTGACAATTTCTGTATTTTGATTCTTAATCGAGGATAAATGAAGATGTCTATGGGCCACATTATCCACATACCATCAGGTAGACTGTGTGCTCATATGTCACCGAACTCTTTTGCAGCGTCTGTTGACATTGCAGCAAGGAGCAAGATTCAACTGATTCAAATAATATCGCTGTGATAAGCGGTTAAAGAGGGCGTATTAAAATGATGTATAAACAAGTGCGCGGTAGTGGTGACTGGTATAATTATGATGGTGACGAATTGAACGTCGATTTGTACGACATTGAAGTGGAAGCTAGAAGTCAAAAACCTCATTTTATTAACTTGTTAATCTGTTTTTGTCTGTAACATTGAAACAACTGGCTTCTTTTAACCTCAGGGGATTATTTGCATACCTTATGTTAAGATATAACTGACTGACATAAGACATAATTGACTGTCGGTATATCGAAGTGCTGTAGTGTTTGTACAGTAGGGCTACGATAGCTATCCGAGTACCGAACCAGAGTACTATACCCATCCAACTGCAAAGAAGTGTAAGACAGGATGACGTTATATCCCCGAAACTCTTCACCGCTGCATTGGAAGAAGTTTTCAAGCTACTGGACTGGAAAGGATACGGTATTGACATCAATGGCGAGTACATCACAATAGAAAGTCCATTTGCCGACGATATAATCCTTATGGCAGAATTACTGGAGGACCTAAGCACTTTGCTCAATGACCTCAATAGTGTCTTTCAATGGATAGGTCTTAAAATGAACATGTATAAAACAAAGATCATATATAACGTCCATGTCACAACTACTTTTAGGACTATAAATAACCATAATTTAAATATTTGGCCGTCTGTCTGTCTGTCTGCCCGGGCCAATTTTCGGAATGGCTGAATTGATTGTAATGAAACTTTACAAACAGATGGAGAGCCATGTCAGATGGTATCTAAGCTATTTTTATACGAAAAACCTCAAAGATTCTAATAATAAAAAAAGGAAAAATTAATAGAAGTTTTTTGTAACAAATAAGCCACATGCAAGCACGCCATTCGATTACAGCTTTCCAATAATGAACCTGTTTATGTGCAGACGAGATAGATGCCGCTGCCTCTACGCGAACAAGTAGAAAAAAAAATTGTATGAATACCTAAAATGAGGTCTCAACTATAACACTTTATCAATTTACAATGTACTTATTACTCAATGAATATTATTATTGTGGGGTATCTACATAGTTTTCTCATCTGGTTGGGCTGCATAAAAATATAAATATAAATGATAATGATAAATATACATAAATATCAATAAAATAAAATAAATACATAAAAGTACATAAATAAATAAAAACCTTACTAGATGGAAGCCCTCGACAGGGGAGACCGAACGGCCGAGGGTTAGGAAGAAAGGGGAAGATACCGGCGGGCGATGCGGGCGGTATCGAGTAGCGCCGCCTTCTGCATCTGAATCCACAGCGGTACGTCACAGAGTCGCCTCAGATGAGCTGGGCTGACTGGGGTAAGCCCGTTCGCATTATTATTATTACGGTGGTAGAGCCACGTGGCAGTTTCTGCTGTTGCACGTATGAGCCGGCTCGAGCCGGGTTGGTACGACGACCTCACAGAATACCGGCGTGAAGTAGAAGCTCTGCTTCTGCGTTTCATCTGGTGAGTGCAGGTGGCCGGAGGCCCAATTCCCCCCCAACATACCAAGGCAACCCCTGCCACATTATCCGTGAATTTCTGCAACATCAGGGGACTTCACTCGAACCTAAACGCCGTCCACTACCATCTCGAGACGACGAAGCCGGCCTTGCTCTTTCTGACCGAGACGCAGGTGTCCTCTCCGGCTGATACTTCGTATCTCTCCTACCCGGGGTACAAATTGGAGCACTCCTTTGTGCCTCGGGCTGGAGTTTGCGTGTATATCAGAGAAGACATCTGTTCTCGACGCCTAGCGGTAATGCCGAAACAGACCGACTCATCGACCACGTCCAAATGGCTACAGATTCCTTGCTACAACAGGTCCCATCCGCAGAGACCGTGATCCATGGCGATTTTAACGCCCACCACGACGAATGGCTCGGTTCACGTTTAACCGATCATGCGGGGAGATCTGTTTATGACTTTGCCTTGGCATATGGTCTGACACAACTGGTTACTTCGCCTACGCGGATTCCAGATGTGGAGGATCATACACCTTCCCTGTTGGACCTTCTGCTGACTTCTCATCCGGACGGATATCAGGTTTCCGTCGATGGTCTCGGCTCTTCGGACCATTGTCTGATCCGGAGTGTGGTGCCACTCACGCTCCCCTCGCGGTTGCGTTCTGCAGGTTGCCGCCGTGTTTGGCATTACAGGTCGGCGGATTGGGACGGAATGCGGTCTTTCTTTGCATTCTACCCATGGGGGCGGGTTTGCTTCTCGCCGGATGTTCCCAGCGCTGTTGCTGACTCTGTCACTGATGTGGTGCTACAGGGAATGGAACTATTTGTTCCCATCGGAGGCAGATCTCAGCCTTAGTTTGGTCGCTCCTGTAAGACTGCATTACGCAGTAAACAGGAGTGTTGTCAAGCCTGGGCTGCGGCTTCGGCGACTCGGAATGTAAACACCAGTATATTTAAAAAGAAGTATAACTCCGCCTCCAGGTCCTTCAAAAGAGTTATTTCCAGGGCAAAGTTATATAGGCAGAATTGGCGAGAAACTAGTTCGTCTTCTTTCGGGAACCCGTGCATTCTGGTCTCTCGTCAAGGCTGTCCAAGGGAATTTCTGTAAGCCATCTCTACCATCTCTGCACAGGGAGGACGATCCAACTCGACTCTTGATAACGGGGGGAAAACACCGCCGACCATCCCGCGGTGTGAGAGCTCCATGCCAGATGTGCTGTTTTCACAGCGCTCGGTTCGCAAAGTACTCCTCTCCCTGGACATCCAGAAGTCGAGTGGGCCTGACGGAATCCCCCCAATTGTGCTGAGGCGTGTGCTCCGGAGTTGGCACCGGTCCTAACGCGTCTTTTCTGGTACTCCTACTCCCAAGGCGTAGTCCCGAGTTCATGGAAGACAGCTATTGTCCACCCGATCCCTAAAAAAGGCGACCGCTCAGACCCGTCCCACTATAGGCCTATCGCCATTACCTCCTTGTTCTCCAAAATAATGGAATCCATTATAACTGCCAGCTCATGCGGTACCTTGAGGATCACCAGCTGATTAGTGACCGCCAATATGGTTTTCGTCGGGGTCGATCAGCTGGTGATCTTCTGGTCTACCTTACCCATAGATGGGCGGAGGCAGTAGAGTCCAAGGGGGAGGCGTTGGCCGTTAGTTTGGACATTGCGAAGGCATTCGATAGGGTTTGGCACAAAGCGCTTCTTTCGAAGCTCCCTTCCTACGGGCTTCCCAAGAAATTGTGCAATTGGGTCACCAGCTTCCTTGCAGATTGGAGTATCAAGGTCATTGTAGACGGTGCATGCTCCGACTACAAGCCTATTAACGCTGGTGTTGCACAAGGCTGTGTACTATCACCAACGCTGTTTCTTTTGCATATCAATGATATATTGCTAACTGGTAGCATTCATTGCTATGCGGATGACAGCACTGGTGATGCTCTATACACCGGCCGTGCCAATATTTCTCGGGAAAACGTCGCCGATTACCGGAACAAACTTGTGTCTCGAGTCTTTACTGAACAAAGTCTCGGATTGGGGGCGACTAAATCTAGTCCAGTTTAATCCTCAGAAGACACAAGTTTGCGCGTTTACCGCTAAAAAGAACCCTTTTGTCGTGTCTCCTCAGTTTCAAGGCACTCCCCTTCTTGCCTCAGCCAGTATCGGAATCCTCGGAGTGACGAGTGACGTGCAGTTTCGTGGTCACTTGGAAGAGAAGGCCGAATTGGCCTCTAAATAGCTTGGCGTGCTCAGCAGAGCGGGACAGTATTTCATGCCGGCACACCGCCTGTAATTTTACAAGGCACATGGAATACTGTTCCCATCTCTGGGCAGGGGCTCCGCAGTGCCAGCTTCTTTCACTTAACCGCATCCAGCGCAGAGCGGCTCGAACCGTCGACAACCGGGTCCTTTCCGATCGGCTTGATTCACTGACACTGCGAAGAGATGTTGGCATCCCTTTGCATTATCTTTCGCATCTACCACGGGGAGTGCTCTGAGGAATTGTTCGGATTAATCCCAGCCGCCAAATTTCAAGAACGCATATTGCGGCAGAACTCCCGATACCATCCACACCATCTGGATGATTGGCGGTCCACTACTGTGCGATTTAGAAGATGTTTTCTTCCTCGCACGACTTCCTTGTGGAATCGATTACCATCAGCGATTTTTCCGGACCGATACGACTTAGGGACCTTCAAGAAAAGAGCCTACTCCTTTTTAAAAGGCCGGCAACGCATTTGCAATTCCCCTGGTGTTGCGGTTGTTCATGAACGGCGGTAGTCACTTAGCATCAGGTGAGCCGCATGCTCGTTTGCCCCCTCTTCTATAATTAAAAAAAAACTATCACGTCTCGAGGCTGACGATTCCATCTACCGAGTTGATTATTCTGATTACGGCACTCCAGTGGTCGCCGATGTAGAAAGAAATTGAGAAATACGCACTTTTAAATACAATAAGTGTGACAAACGAGCACGCACCTGATGGTAAGCAGATACTGTGGCCCACAGACATCCACATCTATCCTCGATTAAAAATCAAAATGATGAAGACGCACCAGTGCGGACAGGACTCAGGGCGAGTCGTTAGAGAAAGCGTATAATGTTATAGAGCCATGCTGCAGCTACATTAATTGTATAGTTGTAGCACAAATGGGTCTGCTATACCGGGGAAGGACCACGCCCTTGCAGAATACCAGCGTAAAATAGCGGCCTAATGCTGTTTCGTATGGTGAGTGTAGAAAACCGGAGACCCTTTTTACTGGAAAAGAGGCATTCAATCGTAGTCCTCACGGCTGACAACGCATATGCATTTTGATTCGCAAAACGAGGATAGATGTAGATGTCTATGATCTATTCAATTTGCCGACGATATAGTACATAATATAGCAGAATTGCTGTAGGAACTAAGCACTTTGCTCAATAACCTCAATAGTTTATTCCAACGGATAGATCTTAAGATGAACATGGACAAAACAAAGATCATATATTAACGTCCATGTCACACCTATTACATGTACACCGGTATTATGATGAATATAGATAAATATTAATAGCGAGGAATTAAATGCTAATTAAGTCATCATCATTCATTATTACAGACCTTCACGAGTCCACTGCTGAATATAAGCCTCCCCCAAGGAATGCCACAAAGCACGATCCTGAGTCACCTGCATCCATCGACTTCCTGCATATCTTACCAGGTCGTCACTCCATCTAGTGGGGAGTCGCCCTACACTTCGCCTACCGGTACGAGGCTGCCACTCGAGAACCGTTTATCCCTATCCGTTGTCGGTTCTTCGAGCTATATTGCTGGCCCCTTACCACTGCAGCTTACTAATTCTTTGGGCTATATCAGTTACTCTGGTTTTACTGCGGATATCCTGATTCCTAAGTTTATCACGCAGAGAAACCCCGAGCATAGCCCTCTCCACGCAAGCTGAGTGATCTTGAACTTCTTCATACGGACAGCGGTGAAGGACCTCCTCTCAGTTCCATAAGTCATCACTGGCAACACGGATTGGGTGCACAGTCTCGTTTTCAAGTTTTGAGGTATACCTGACGAGAAGATGTGCCGTAATTTCCCGAACGCTGCCCAACCGAGTTGAATCCGTCGATTGACCTCTCGGTCGAAGTTGGACTTACCTAGTCGGACTATGTGTCCCAGGTAAACATACTCGTCAACAACTTCGAGCTTAGTGTTTTCAACAACTACCGGCATAGGTGTGACATGGACATTAAACATGATCTTTGTTTTGTCCATGTTCATCTTAAGACCTATCGTTGGGAAACACTATTGAGGTCATTGAGCATAGTGCTTAGGTCCTCCAGCGATTCTGCCATAAGGACTATATCGTCGGCAAATCGAAGGTGAGTATGTACTCGCCATTGATGTTGATACCGTATCCTTTCCAGTCCAAATGCTTGAAAACATCTTCCAATGCAGCGGTAAAGAGTGTCGGGGATATGACGTCACCCTGTCTTACACCTCTCTGCAATTGGATAGGTTTCGTACTCTGGTTCTGTACTCGGATAGCCATCGTAGCCCTACTGTACAAGCACTTCAACACTTCGATATACCGACAGTCAACTTGGCATCGCTGAAGGGACTGCAGCACCACCCGAATTTCGACGGAATCAAAGGCTGCATTTGGAGATCTGTCTGTTCAGTTGCCTCTATGCTGTCAAATCTGTTGAAGAATGTAGCTTCATCTCCTGTCTAACAGCCATGAGATTAAGAGTGTGATCGGAGATTTTTTGTTTTCTTCTGCGGCGGGTCTTGCAGAACTTAGCTCTGACCGCAT